AAGAGCTGCAGGAAGAAATTTAAATTTCATCAGTAGTAAGTTTCATCAGTGGACATAGGATCCAATGGCTAGGCTACATGTAGTGGCTTAGTGAGGACGATAAAAACAGAGTAGCATAGGCGTAACTAGACCTTAAAGTTAGGGGGGCTTCAGCACACCCTATACTCGTTCCTCAAATAACATTCATTATTAAATAATAATATTATTTTATTATTATACATTTTGTAGTGTTTATGGCATGTATAAAACAAATAATAAAAAATTCTTGGTTTTTCTTAATTTTTCTTTTGTTTTTTACGGCGCTTTTGAAAACTTCTGGGAAATTTTTACTTTTGACCCCCCAAAGTACCAACTAGATTCACTTTCCTATCAGAAAAGGTACTGTTGAAGAAAATCCATTCACTTTTACTATCCTATAACGTGATGACAGACACAAAAATAAAAAAAACATACATCATTGTAAAATCAATACATTCATCGTTCCACTCAGAATCTCAAAAGTGGTATTGAGGTAGGTAAACATTAAAATAGTAACATATTTTTAAGTATTATTTTAAAATTTAAATACAAGATAATTCATAAAACGTAAGTGAATGTTAAAGGAATTTGAAAGATAACTTTTTTAGCTTAAGCCTCCGCTCAGTATTGGCAAATTTATTTAAAATATCTTTTTTGTTTAGAATGTTTGACAAATCTCTCTCAATTGCTATGATAGATACCGTAAGAGCGGGATACTTTGCTCCAAATATATTTCTTTTTAGTTTGAACCTATACTATAGCTTCAATAACAAAGATAAAAATTACCTGTTCGCGTTGTTTTATATGTATAGATGTTAAGAGGTAAGAACAATTCAAAAAAATCCGAATGTCGTACTAGTGACTTACTTACTTATTCCCAAAAGTTTGGAGCAAAGTTAAAATACATTGCAGGTTACATTGCACAATGATTAAAATTACCTTACTTTAATGCATATAATAACTATTGGTGCAATGTTTAGTGCTTGCGTGTCATAACTTATTTGAACCTATACTTAATATAATTTAATAATATATTTTTTTTTTTTTTTTAGTTGATTAAAAGTCTTTTTTCAATACATTTTAAATTAAATTTCAATCCCCTAGATTTTGGATAACTTTTCCGTTATGTATTTTTGTGTTTTTGAAAACCATTTTTTACATGATATACATCTTGGAGGAAAACTAATAGATTCATGTCCGTAATGTTTGAAAAAATTAGTAATGTTAATAAGAATAATATAAAAAAAACTACAATCTCTGATCTCAAAATCGTAATGTGCTACGATTGATATCAATAAAAATTTTTTTTGGAGCAATGTTTAACCCCTGGAGTAAAGTATCCCGCTCTTACGGTAACTTTGAAAATCGATTTGGTTACATGGTTGACCTTATGTAAGTGTTTATTCGACGCATTGCTGAGAACGTTCTTTCACAAGATGCAGAACTTGTTGGAATTATTCAAATTAACGACGAATACTAGTGCCTTAGAAAATAAGCGATTCTCTAAGTCCGAAATACGCCGTTAATGAAAATAATCTAATTCAAAACGAGAAAATGGTGACTACCAAGTACGAAGAGGTACAGGAGTGTGTACGTACGGTGGCTACATCACGTCTGTCTGATTTGCTGCTCCCAGGGATCCTAAATAGTACTATCCCCTCTCTTTATTAGATCCCTGGCGGACTGTGTCATTGGTTCTCACAGTCAAGGGGGCCTTCCATAATTAGATGGTTGATTATTTTGTAGTGCAAACACTAACCTATAACTCAAGGCTGCAGATGTGCCTCTTTTTCGATGTGGGGCATCGTTATAATAAGCGAGTATACTCCTGTAGATAGGAATTTTCATTGGCGTTGGGGGGGGGGATATGTATACCCCGAAAAACTATCAAATATTTGTATAAAAAAACTTATTTTTATTTTTTCTACAAAATGTGTACACTATAAAGTTTACAATATAATGTCTATATTTCTTGATTGTTGTGACTTAATGTCTATAATTTCTTCGGGCGCAATAGAAACTTCTCGGTGAATTGATATTAAAGTTAATCTATTTAGTCAAGTCTGAAAAGTAAGTACATAAATAGATTTAAACTAATCTTAAGTACGAAAAATAACTATTTATTTTTTACTCCAGCCATCGTATTCCTTAAGTATGTTTTCAGCTTTTTAAGGCATGAAAACGTTCTTTCGGGTGTCGATGTGGACACCGATAAGGTACATAGTAGGTATTGTGGTTCACATTTGGAAATACTGAGGGATCACATAATTTCAGGGCATCTATAGCTACCGTAGGATGTTTATTTGTTACATTTAGTTTTGATTGCCAGATTTTTAACTCCAAAATTACTGTCTGAACATCAGTGTCAAGATAAAAATTTACAAGTTCTTCAAATTCTTGAAAATCAATGTTGCCAAAAACTTGAAAACCTAGACAAAAATTCCATACCTAATGATTTTTGTAAATAGTATTTAATAACATATAAGTAGCAATTTTAATGTAACTTAGGTAGCTTTTAAAATATTTTTGTGGACAAGAAATCTTTCTTTTAAATTATTTATAAAAGAATCAATGTTACGGTATCTTTGTGGTAATTCTATAGTAAGTTTCAGGTTGAATCGTCTTATCCTCAGAAAATATATTTGCCCGATTTGGCAGGTAGATTTGAGGTGAGGTATACTAATATACCTCATCCTCTTTATACATTGATTTAAATTCTTTTTCGATATTTTGTTTTAAGGCTTCAAGCTGATGCGGACCTGTGGGGTGCCGTGTGGATGGTTGGTGGAGGTAACCAAATGAATAAACAAAAAAAAAAACACTGGTGTAAATCGATTGCTGGTTTTATTTAATTATAATGTATAATAATTAGTAACGGTATCGGTTGTCCGTCGGTTGCTGTGTCGTCAACGGAACTCGCGGGGACTTGCGCCGTGTCCGTGTATTCCGGGTCGTTGAGAACTAGTGACTTGGACGAGCCGGTTCACCGAACGGCCGGCCGACAGTTCCTAGCGCGAGTGTCGCGCGCGGACGTCGTCCGTCGTCGATTGGCGGTTTGTTTGAGAAGCCACAGCGCGGCTTCCGCGTAAAGGCTGTTTGAATTCAAACGGGACCGCGTCAAAGCATAGATACATTGCACTCCACTGACTGTACTTCTTCTTTCAAGTCAATATCATATTTTTGAAAACATTTACATAAACGTAAACCATAAGATGATAACATAAAGATTAAAGATACTAGATAGTATAACAGTGATAATAACTAATAAACTTAGCTTATACTACCTGTGTAACGGGCTGTGACTTTTGACAATAATATAATATAATAATCTAATAATCTATATATATAAAAATGGAGACAAAAAATTCGAAATTGCATCAGTTGAGAACGGCTGGGCCGATTTTGCTCAAATTTTTTTTAAATGATAGAGAATGTCGGGGAGCGGGTTTTTACGAAAGAAAATTTTTAAAAAGTCAACCGAATAATTAGAAAAACTGCAAAAACTATTTATTGATGTCTGGGATTTGAACTCGATACCGTTGTCTTTATTTACTTTATGGTGTATATTGGTTAATCGGGCATGTTTGTTGATTTGTATTATTTTTTTTTGTAAATATATCTTATATATAAATGAATGACCTATGGGAAGAAGATACGCTAATTTAAAAAGGGTTAAATTTGGTTTTTTTTTATTCATCGGATTTTAAAACGGTTATGTTAGGTTAGGATTTATAGGTAGGTGGGATTAAGTAAAAACGTCAAACTTGGTATAACTTTGGTACTTTTTGAGTTAAATCATACACTTACGTACAAACAGCACGGGGTCCGCGATCTACCGCAGGTAAATTACCTATCTGATAATGTACTGCTGCAATTCAGAGTTTTTATTCCGGGCAACAGAAAAGTTAAGATAAATCTTGAACATAATACACCGAATATTAAATAACGCATTGAACAATGTTTGAGTCATATGGAGTTGGTACATTTAACAGGAAACGAAGTGCACGGGATCAGCTAGTACAATATATAATAATATATATATTTAAATGCTGCAGATCGGCGCGCATCGAAAGAAATAGTTGTAATATCTAATCATTAAAAGCGAGCGCGTAATACCGGCTGCACGTGTTTTAATATCAAAGGTACCGCGCGAGGCGTTATAAGAACACGTGATAAGTATGTGAATTTTTAACAAACCATATTCTAGGAAACACGAATAACATAATTGATGAGTTTGGGAATATATAATACACAAATAACATTTGTTCGTCGCGAAATTCGGTTCAAGTGAACACGATTGATAACTCGACTTTAGGCTGGGTGCTATCTAATTAGTTTTTAAATTCATAAAAAAAAATATGTAGGTAATAGTGGACTGTAAGGTTTATTGTTCCTGTCACTCTGTCACTTGAATGATTCATAAAATAAATACAAAGCGAGCTTAATAATTATGTTAGTCCTATCACATCGATTTTATAAATAATAATAGATAAAGTAATCACATGACGTGATATTAACAAAAAATCATGATATAAACGATGTTGACAACAACACTCGTTAAATAATTATACAAATAATCAACGGGTGTGATACGCCTGACTTGGTTGCATCGTCCTCCTTTTTGTACTTGGTCCAATCCTAGTGGCGGCGTAGTTGCACCGTGCGACAAATGAATCAAAACGATTCTACCCACCTTATACGGCGGATGACTTCGATGACCTTACCGGAAAACCCAGAGGAGCCACAAGTCACAACGGGTGCCTAATGACGCGTATGCCAATATTCGCCGAGCATGTGACAATATAGAAGACATTTCTCGGTCAGAACGTATCACTGTGAGATTACATATTATAACAATATAAGCTAAATTATATATAAAAAATGATTATAGAAATAGTAATACCATGGTAATAAAACAAAACACAAAATATATATGTACATTTTTGGGAAATGACAGGAGATGGAAAGATGGAAGAAGGTGATTAAGCGTTGTCGGTGGGTAATTTAACCAACTTTACGGCTGGACGTTTCAGTGTTCCTTCTGCCGTCTTAACAGTAGCTACACGAACCACTTGGTCAGGCCCTGGGTGGACCTCGATGACTCGTCCAAGTTGCCATGCCAATGGAGGTCGAGACGGTGAATTTATGACAACGATATCCCCAACAACGAGACTGGGAATATGATGGAACCATTTCTGTCTGCTCGGCAGCGTGTGTAGATACTCTCGACTCCATCGTTTCCAAAAGGACTGAAGGGCTTGTCTAACTAACTGCCAGCGTTTGAAACGATTCTGCGGAATGTCATCAATGTCGTGTTCGGGAATCGCCATTAGAGGTTGCCCAATCAAAAAATGTCCTGGTGTTAGCACAGATAAATCGTTCGGATCCGTCGACATGGCGACTAATGGCCGAGAATTGAGTACACCTTCAATATGTGTGATTATCGTCATCAATTCTTCCAAAGTATACACTTGATTACCTATTACCTTCTTTAGATGTAGCTTGGTACTCTTAATGACAACCTCCTAAATACCGCCAAAGTGCGGAGCCGCAGGCGGGTTGAACTTCCATTGACATGGAACTCGTGCATGAAGTGCTTCCTTCGTTGCTGAATCGTGGAATAATGTCTTCAGTTGTTTCAATCGAGCCACAAATCGATCGAGAGACGCTAGGAATGCCTCCGTCGATAAGTCTGTGTCTTTGAGTTGCGGCGTTGACTCTCCTTGATGGTGAATGGACCTCCGTAATCCATGTCCATTGCAAATGGTCGGAATTGTTGGACCCTTGTTGATGATAAATTTGCCATCAATGGTTGGGGAGCTGCAGCCTTGTATTTAGTACACACCGTACATTTGAATATTACGTTACGAATCGCAGCTCGAATCGAAACGATCCAGAAACGGCACTGAATTAATGAAGCTACTAAACGCGTTCCAACAATCAGGTCTTACATTTTAAAAAAAAAATTCGTTTTATGTTTGTGAGACTTTGGCCTTATACAATAAATATTTATACCACATCCAGGATGTAGAAAATATATGCATATTTACTGTCCCAAAAGATGATGGCAGACACACAAAAAAAAAAAAACATATCATTCTAAAACCAATACATTAATCGCTCCGCTCAAAACTTAAAATATTATCTAGGGCATTTTCAAGATTTTAAAAAAATTTTTCATACGTTGTAACCAGTCATTTGTTAAGTTTTTAGTGTCTAAAGATGAATTATCCCAAGCATTTTTGTTCCACATTAAAAAAAATAAAATGTATTTATTTAGTGAATATTGAACATAATATGCTTACACAAAAATCAAACATTATCACTACCATTTTCTAGAGTAGGAAGCTCCATCCATTGTTTATAGAAACACTTGTTTTATTTTGTATTTACTCAATAACCTTTTAAATACTATAACTAGACATAATGTACATGCCATGTGGAATAAAAATCTGTCACCATTTGTTAACAAATTATTTATAGTATATTATTATTATTATCATATTATCGCAATTCCTATGTCACAATGGGTTACAATCAGGTCTTACATTTAAAAAAAAATTCGTTTTATATTTGTGAGATTTTGGCCTTATTCAATAAATATTTATACCACATACAGGATGTAGAAAATATATGCATGTTTACTGTCCCTTAAGATGATGGCAGACACACAAAAAAAAAACACTCACATCATTCTTAGTACATTAATTGCTCCTCTCAGAACTTAAAATATTATCTAGGGCATTTTTGAGATTTTAAAAAATCTTGTCATATGTTGTAACTAGTTATTTGTTAAGTGGGTAGTGTCTAAAAATGAATTATCCCAAGCATTTTTGTTCCAAATTAAAAAAATAAAATGTATTTATTTAGCGAATATTAAACATAATATGCTTACACAAAAATCAAACATTATCACTACCATTTTCTAGAGTAGGAAGCTCCATCCATTGTTTATAGAAACACTTGTTTTATTTTGTATTTACTCAATAACCTTTTAAATACTATAATTAGACAACATTTTATACTATTCTTTCAATTGTATTCAACGCTGTTAATATTATTGATACAGAAATGGTCAGAAATATTAATATGTTAACTGTTATTTTTATACTTAGTTGTATTAGTAATATAATATGGGCTGGAGGTGAGTACTTATATTTATATTTTTTTTTTTATTCACACGATAGATCACAGATTAATGTTTATGGAGAAATATAGGAAGAAAATACATAATTGTCACAGAAATTATTAAAATGACTGTTAAAAAAAAAAAGTAAAATAATTTAATAGACTAAGATTATACAAACATATTTAACAACTATTTAATGGAGTTATACATGAGATAGTAGGCCACTGTTTGTGTCGGTAGGTGTATATTAGTTATCGGCTCCAAGTTCCAACGTTCATCATTTGAAAAATAAAACTATTTTAGTAACCATTATAATTATTTCAGATAAAAATACAGAGTATCCCGAGAGGATTTATTCATTGCGATATCTCCTGAGATAATAAAGACATCATAAATCTGTTTTTTTTTTTTATTAGACTCACAGCGAGGATAACACATTTAATTTAATTTTTTGGTAAAAAAGTTTTAAAAGTAATATTTTTTTATTTTCATTATTGATATAGTTGAAAATAATTATTTTTGTGAAAATTTTGACTTTTTAACATTTTATTTTCATTAATCTCATGATTTTTAATAATTTTGTTAGCTTATAGCCTATAGGTTAACAGCCAAAACCCAAAGATATTATAGTGTTGTATTTAAATTAAATAACTCAGATCAATTCAATCTTATATTAAATCTAACATCTTAATATTGATTTTGCTGTACACGAACTTAAGTATCTGTGTTATATTACGTTTGAAATTGGGCTTTATGTACTAAGTCCTCTTCAAAGCCAACCATTTCAAAACATCATAATTATTGAAACATAACATATTTTTTTAATAATCATTAATAATATTTTGAATCAAGGTCAAGATGATTGTGTCGGTAAGTATAATTATTATATTTAACGATACAATACATATATATGAATATACAATTACACAGTGGCGTAGACATGGTATCTGAAGGGGAAAGGATAAAAAAAAAAAAAATAGCTAATGGGAAGGAAAATTGGAAAATCCCCCATCCTCTCAAAATTTTTTACTAAGGTAATAAAAAGCCAATGGGGGGATCTGACCCCCCCCCTCCTCCTACGCCACCCCCTTGACTACACCATTGTAATTACATAAGTTTATATACAATGTGTTTCACTTTAATCTTAATGAGATATACTGCAGTGTCTCGAAATTCAGTTGAAAGATCAATAAAATAAGCTCCAATGAGATTTGCACGATGTTATATCATCAGGACTCCTTTATTATAGTTACACTTCAGTAAACATGTTAACATATTTTTATATATGGTTAAACCATTTATTTTATTGTACTTGGTAAGAATAAACTTAATATTATTATGTACCTAATCCGATACCTAACTACCTATATCGGCATAATTTATGAAATATAATAATTACTATAAGTAAGTCTGTAACGTAGGTAAAATAATGTACCTACTTAACTTTTATTTGTAAGTACTCGTTTAATGTCATATTTGTATAATCATTAAATTCATAATATTTATGTATAATATCTTTATCAGTCAGTTGATAATTTTATAAATATTATAATTAATATTCGTTGTTATTTAAAATATCATTACAGACCAAATGGTTGAAATAGGTTTAATGAGGAAATCATCTAATGGCAAGTGTTTAATTTAAATCTTTTTATATCAAAAACATTTTTGATAGAATGTCACTCACTGTTTATATCTAATGGTGTTATAATATTGTTATAAATATAAATACGATACATTGAATAATTAATGAACCAACGAGACACGTCATGCAGTTATCGGCTGATAGATTTTATCGGCCCTATTTAATGTAACCGTGTGATGTGTGATTTATACTTAATCTTATACAATAATCAATGTACTTATTATAATTTAGGGACATATACCGATGTAAAAGGTTGGGTAAAGGAAGCTGAAAGATTACGTTAGTTTACATTTGTTTTTATAATATTTTATTTAAATATTGAATCATAGGTATAAAGTGTGCAAACAATAAATGATAAAATATTTAAAATACCACCTAGATCATCAGTGTCATCAATTAGGAACAAGCACTCATTGAAGAATAGTCGACACTAAATTTGAAACACACTCATTTTTTTCATTTTAACTTTAAGAATAGGTCTTTATCCATCACACATCCTTGTCGTTTAAAAATACATTTATTTAAACTTAGTTGACTTCTTGGGCTTTTTAAAGTTACTGACCTAAGATCGACTCAATCTTGAAAGCACTTCTTTGCTTACTCAGCAGTTTTGTGGGTGGATCACTGAATCAACAAGGAGAACTTCCATGTTAGGTATCTACACAAATCAACATTCTCAGAGTACTCTGAGTACTAGATTGCTATCACACATTAGGTATCGAGTTAGATACTGCCGTTCAACTATTGTTCTCAGTATTTATTGTCGCGGGAGTAGTTCTAAGACAATCGATGTTCAGTGGATGTCTGCTTACCTTCAATTCTTTTTTCTTCAGTCATGAAGTTTGAAAATAACTGAAGAATTTGCTTTTTTGCTTTAAATTATATTTTCTATACCAGACTAGAAAAGTTTGTTTGAGGTAGCCAGAAATGCTTTAAGTATTTTCTACTAATTATGTTGTTGCTATTTTATCGTTTTCTAGCTTTTTAGGGGTTTCGGCATGAAACCTTCGAGATGAGTTCGCAACATAGTGAATCTCAATCTTAATTTAGCAACAGCATTATGAGCTCTAAAAATGATAGTTCAGGTGTGGAATTTGATACAGAAAAGCTTACACTAAATTTGAATACAACAAAAAAGTTTAGAAACATAGTTACAATTTCAATAATATTATTATTATTATTATTTAATTTAGTCACCTACTAACTCACTGATAATATTCTAATTTCTAAGATCACCCATCGCCCCTTTATATTTCAGGCCTAAGCCCCTTATTTTGATCGACTTCTGTTGGTATACATTTGTAGAGGAAGCTAGTGGTTTTACAATGGTGTTTATTTTTCATTTACTCTCTATACAAAATTTCTACCAGAAGGAGGGCTTAGAATTCAACACATAGCATCTTTTTTTTAGAAAATTGGATCAAGATGGTACTCTAAAGATTTCATTAGTAATATTCACTAGTAATATTATATAATTAATTCAACTTACAGGCTATAATGAATAAAATCAATATAAAATATCCTGACTGACAAACTGTATCCGCTCAGAATCGTTTTTCTTATACAATGAAAATATTATATCATTGAATTCAAGTTTAATACAATCCGTTATACATTGACCC